ACATTTTATGCACCTCTCTTCATTATATGTCTACATATTCAAAAAGAAGTTTTGGTATTAAAGGTTAAAATTTCCACTTTCACTTACAGTCTAGGCCTTAGACACAAGACACACACACACAAAAAACCCCAAACAAAAACCCAAAACAAACAAGCAAACAAACAAACAAAAAAAGCAGTTATCCAGCCTACAGCCTCTGGATTGTACCCAGCCCATCAGAACTTCCTTGCTCTGGAAGTCCTGAGACAGGGCACAGAGTTGGGCATGAGCTAGATGAATTGCTCCAGACATTTGTTCACCAAATGCTGCTAAAGCATCCCCACTCCCCCCCCCCACCCTGCCTCCATCATATGCTAAAAGGCAAGTATTCCCCATCATAGAAAATACGTCTTCATCCCATGAAAGCATGTATGCAGGCTGCCCACATGACAATGTTTCTCGTAAACTTGTCAGGCACGTCAGTCACATATCACCCCACCACGGATCCTCCTGGTGAGGGGAGGAGTGTGCATCTACATGGCACTGAAGAGTTTGATGCTTGAGTTCCTCCATTAGATGCAATGGGACTTACTCAAGACAATGTGACGCTTAACTGGCTTCAGAAAAGAGGAAAAAAGTTTGAGCGTTACCATCTACTTGTGACCGAGTTTAAAGACATTATTCCATTCAAAAGGTTTGTTTGAGCCTGAACTGTTTTTTCAAGTTTCACTCTTTTAACAAACAGCTGAGGTTGAAGCTCATGCTAACAGTGTTTAGGAGCCTATTTTTTTTAAGACTATTTTTCAGTAGCATTCTTCATCTCCAAAATTGGGTAGATCTTTAAAAAGAAACTTCATAGGAATACAGTGAAAAGGAAATAGTGCAGAAGCATAAAAATAGACTCAGGAGTCCAATAACAAACTATAAATCATTCATTTCCATCAGACAGTGACTTGCAACAACACTTCCGCTTTTACTAAAGAAAGGAGTTCAGAACATTTAGGGACAGGTTCGTTCCTTCTAACCTGAAAGCATTTTAACTTGCTTCCAAGACAAGGATATCTCAGGAGACCATGGTGTAAGTCATCTGTCTTGGCTTAAAGAGACTCCAGTACTATTTCACTGTGCCTGACAGAAGGGATGAGTGAGGCTGTCCAAGTCCTTTGTGAGCTCAAGGCAGATCTCCAACAAGCTTGGGTCCTACTCACGCACTCCTTAGGGAAACACATTAAATTTGTATCAGAAAGTTATAGGTAACAAGAAGAAAGAGTTGAAATGGGGCAGGGAGGGGGGAGGAGGTCAAATAATACCATGGCTAAATCCAAACTGAGTGATAGAGGAGCACACACTGCATTCGCAGGTACTACAGGCTCACTCCTGCTACCCCCAGCCCCGTAAATGAGCTTGACATTGGGATTTTTTTGTTGGAATCAACACAGTTCAGATTACTTGCCTAGCCTCCAAAATTCATGTAATACAGAAAGTAATCAATATATTGATCAGTCGCACTCACCATGTAGCTCCAAAAAAAGTAAATATAATTACACAAGAGAATAACTTAGAAAGGCGTATATGTTTGCTACAGTAAAGATGTATTGGTTGAGGTGAAGAAATACATAATATGACTGAACACGTCCCAAATTATTTGATCATAATGATAGGAGTTGCCTTTAATCAAAGACAACTGCAAAAATGTTTTTGACTGAAAAGAACAACCCACCACCAAGAATTCTAATTAGTGCAATATATGAACTGATTCAATATAGAAAACCCACTTTAATTCTATGGTCAGAAATTGGTCAGACACATGCATGTCAAAAAGGGACTTCCAACTATGTGCAATTTATCTTTATTTTACAAACTTTACTATTAATATGCCTAATTTCTAGTACTATCAGATAGTAAAATCCCCATGTTCTATGGGAATCCAGTTTCATAGCCCAACTTTCTCCCTCCTAGAACCCCTCTAGGACAATCCCACCAAGTTACTGGATGACAACAACAAAAATAATCAAATATGCATAACCATACAGTGAATAATGCAGAATCAACAGCCTATAATACAAAATCCTCATTTAAAAGTATAATTATCACCTTGCTTGTTTTCCTTAACAGCCTCAATTGCTCTGTATTTTTCCTCTTCTCAGGGGACCTATACAGATGAGACCAAAATTATGAAAAGCCAGCACAGCCAGCTTTATGCCATTTCAAGGCAGGCAAAAGTACAGGGCTAACAGACATAAGAGAGGGATCTCTCTTTCCAATTAGTAGAAGATCCAAAGCAGGTTGCAAATGGTAAGATATGCACCAGAAAGAACTGCAGGCTTTAGGTATTCGGGCATCTTCTTTCCCAATTTACACACACTTCCTCCCTGGGCTAAGTGAAAATTTTTAATTTTGGGAGACTGGCAAATTTACCAGATTAGGTAAAGTCTGTTTGAAAAAAAGTTTCAAGTTTAAAATGAAACCTCTCCTTGAGCTCTGGCAATTGTATTGCTAACAACAGAATTTCTAGCACAATAGTGGCAATGTAGTACAGACATTTTTTTGAAACACTAACTGGGTTAAGAAATCAAAGCCGATCATTAAGCTATGAAGATAAAATGCGTAGTCTTTATGTTAAGACACAATGCTGACAGATTACATCCTACAGTCAGGCTATTGTCCTTCATTCTTTGTGCACCACAAACTCCCAGGGAAGCTGAAATTCTGTTATCTCTGGTAAATCAGCACTGATTAGACAGTGTATGTGTAGGAAAAAAAAAAATCAGATTCATAATCAGGCATAAGAAAATTCTAGATTAGCCTTTTATAAGCAAAACTAAAATTTTAAGGAGAAGGACTGTATTACGTGTCAGGTTAGAAAACAGAGTCTAAGGGCCATATTAGCTTCTGTTCTGTGCAGCAGAAGATGAGGACAGAAGTAATTCTCCAGTGATGGAAAGGACTGCACGATAGCTAAGCCTTTGTAACAGTATCTGTGGGCTCACCCTGTACACCTGTGTTGGAAGAGCAAAGACTCAAGTCTTAGCATAGGCATAACTGGAGAAAAAGCCATTAAATAACCCCAGTTCAAGTTACAATCAACATTATCACTCATTTACATAGTCATAAAATTAACATGTAACCCTTCAAAAAAGTAGATTGCTCCCTTGAGTGCTCTCAAGATCCCCCCAACATATAAGCACACTACCACATCTATCACAGGAAGCTGTGGGATAGAACTGTTCACATCTCATTTTACCTAGCTTTCAAGTTGAGTGAAGCTCTGTGTGTTCTGTTGTTGAAAAAAAAAAAAAAACAAACAAGAAAAAAGAGGGAAAAAAAGCAAAACAGAGAGAAAAAGAAGATTCTCCAAAACGTGTGTAAATGGCTAAGCATGATACAAGACTGAGTTAAAGCAATTCTGATCATGAATCAAAACAGTGTTAAGCCTCCATCACTGCTACCTGAGAAAACTACTTTTTCCTTTTGTTTTAATCAATTCTTACAAATAAACCTAGGATGAAATTGTGCTTATGTAATTTATTGTCCTATGGACCCAAGTAAAAGCTGACTATCACCAAAAGCAGTATTTATTAACTCTCCTCAGGAGTGCCCAAGATACTATACAAAACCCCATGTTGTATAATCAAGAAGCTTAGCATAAACTAATGGCACCAATTCCTCTGTGTACAAGGCAAACTATACACTACTATAAACAGACTTTTTCTTGTTCCTGTCTCTTACTGTTAGTCAAAGGAGTGACATGTGTAACCAACTCTTCAGGAGCATATCCATCCTTTTAAGCAGAAATGGGAGCTAACAGGACAACAGAGTCAGGAGATTGAAAACAGTAATGATCTATGGTAGGAAAGCAAAGAAGAGGAAGAAAAATAGCAGCTGAGCAACGGTATCAAATGGAAAGGGTGGGGAGGCAGAAAAGAGCAGATGAATAGGGAAGGAGACAAATGAGATGTGAAAAGAGACAGAAGACAAAATTACCAAGAGTTAGCCTAAAACAGCAGTTCTTAAGTCACAGCTCAGCCAAAGGAAATTAGAAAGTTAGCCTGACAGGAAGAGTAAATTAAAATGCTGCCGTCAACATCTTACTGCTTGAGTGGTGTTGCCAAGAGAGTCAACCATGGCTGGGAATTCCTGGCCTACCACACGGCTGGTGCAAGTGCTGTAACGACTTCGTTAGCTAGGTGTCTCCTGAATAGGAGGAGTAATGCAGGAGCTAGTCAGCGTATGGGAATGGGAAAAGGGAGGAAAGGAGAATCGCTGGTGAGTTCAGCTGGAAATGAGATCAAGTCTTTATTAACTGGTCTGCGCACTAAGATAGCTACCACACAAGTCACGCTTAATCCAAAGCGCTATGGAAACTGGAAATTGTTTTGTTAAACAGAGCCCCAAAACCTGTTAAGGAGTTGAGGTGAGCTGCTGTGCAAAAATGCATAAAGTTACATTAAAATTATATCTATGGTGGACACAAAGGTTTCATCCATCATTCTTCAAAAATTCCTGAAATTGTAACTGATGAAGAAATATAACTCTAGATATATGATACATGCAATGAGCAGAGAACGGTGATGTCTACAAAAATGCTCCAAGGTAGAACTGCATATTTTGATTCTTTAAAGACATTAGCCACATAAGATAACATGCTGTCCTTATAATCTGTAATATCATGGTCTGTATAATCAGTCCAATCAGAATCAATGTGCAAAGGAAAAGACAGTTTCCTAAATATGCCCATCCTATCTGACCTTCACCAAGACGCAGCTAAATACAGAAAAGAACGCAGATATGGATGGACACAATCTCCTCCTCTTCCCCGAGTTAATCCAATCATGCAAGAAAGAATTAAATAATGTTTTACGGGGTTTTATCATTGAATACGGTGTAGCATTAGTCTGCCATTATGCTGACTTACACTGCATTGTTAGCTCAGAGGGAACCTGGGAGGAAGTTAGAAGCCTGTTTTTACTGAGAAACAGTACCAAAAAGATCAAAAATATTTGTTTAAGTTGAAAACGTACCATGAGCGTCTCTTCTGTACTTCTTTGTCTTTGTACTGGAGCAACTGGAAATTCAAGGAGGGATTTTACCGTCTTCCTTTTGGCTTTTTCCATTTGAATATTAGTAAAATAGTTGACAGCAGCAAACTCAATGAGAGCAGAGAACACAAAGGCAAAGCAGACCGCTATGAACCAGTCCATGGCAGTAGCATAGGATACTTTTGGCAGTGAATGTCTTGCACTGATGCTCAGTGTCGTCATTGTCAACACTGTGGTTATTCCTTCAAAGAAACAAAGCAAAAGCACTGCTGAATCCAAGTAAATCAGAGTGAGAACAGGCAAGCAGGTTCAAACAAAGAATTTTAAATCATGTAGGAGTCTTTCTCTGCTGCTTGGGAATAGTGCCTTAGATTTAAGTCATGGCAACAATCATATATCGCTGAGCAGCTATGCACATAAAACAGTTAAACAGTTTTCAAAGGAGGCATGGGAAGCCATGACTTCAGCAGATCATCTATAGATCACATGAAGAAAACATGGAAGCCTTCATTTCATTCTTTTTTCATGTCATGTTCAGTAGAATTTCTTACAAGTTCTTTTCTAAACATTTGAACATAATTTAAGTTGTTAAATAGGGGAGAGCTCCTTATCCTCTAACAAAAGCATCGCTTTTCCTGTAATGGGTTCAGAATGCCACCTATTACTCTGCATCTGTTCCTCTGATCCCACTTGTAATCCAGGTGCCACTAAGTCATGGAAAATTGTTTTGGTGCTAAGGAAAACTAGAATATTATGTAAAAAACTCTGTTAATAAGCAAACCATCACCTTAACTTTTAAACCCTTCTGCTACTAGTGGACCAATGAGATTTAATTAGAATTTCATCTTCTGAAAGAACAACTTCTTAATTAAAATGTACAGGCATGAACACTGAGCTCATAATATGACCACTTCATGGTAACACTTCAAATGCAAATACATGCTGTATAAAACCAAGGCATGTTTTTTGTTTTCTTTTTGCATCCAAAATATCATTCAAATATAAAATAGTGAGTATATAGTGAACACTGCTGAAGTCCTACCATGATAATATCAGGGAAGACTGACTACAAATGGAGATGTCTTTACTCTTATGAAAAGAACACTGTACCCATTTTAACTCAAGATGAAATGCATATGTTGAGAAGAATTCAAAATAATTAAGAGCATGTTTTCCAACATGATCCTCACATCCTCTATTCCCTAAATGGTGCTATCCCATCTGGGTAACATAATATGAAAAAGCTTCACCTACACACTGCCATACAGAGAATAGGACACAATGAAACCAGTCTCTCCTATTAAAGAAGGAGAAAAAAGAAAAAAAAGACTAATAGCCAGTTCATGAAAGCACAAAGAATATCTCAGAGCAAACTCAGCAGGATAAAAACACATATGTAAGCTCACAAAACCTTCTGCAGTGGGAAGGTGTTGAAAAACACACCACTGAAAATAAACGTTTAAGTCTGAGGAAAAAAAATTATGGAAGGTTATTTTTTTCCTGGAAGAGACCCATCCCTGCTAAGCCCTGTCCTTCCTGATTCTACCTTTGTCCACTTCAAGCAAATAGTTTGCCTGAATTGTCTTTTGAAAGACATTTGTTTAATAGATGTAAGAATAGGGCAAAGTGACTTGAATGACCAACTGTTCCTTAAATACAAAGGAGGAGAGGGGAGGCCGTGACAGTATTACAGTTTACTGTCAGAGTCTTTTATCAGTTTTCCCCCTATTCAATCATTGTTCTGGGAAACTCAGTTGTCACTTCAACTGCCCTTGGATATGTGCCACAGAGATTTACAGGGTAGGGAATTAAGTTCTGGTAAAAAATATTATATATACACATGAACTGTAATTATCCAGAGCTAAATACTTGCAAGCTTCTGATTAGAAATACATATAACCATATAAAAATATATTAAAGAGTATTTTAATATAAAAATTAATTTTAAAGATCTGTTTGAAAATTACTGCTGTCTTTCCTCTAAGAAACACCAAACTCCCATAATCACCAGATTCAAACATCTGAAGCTCTGACTGCAGAAATCATGACCTGAGGTACCTTAGTTCCTTGTGTATCCCTCCTCTGTTACCTTTGCCAAGTTCTCCCTAATCATGCAGCGTCCAATGGAAAGATATTTTGGTTAGCATCTTCTGACAGTTCCTCTAGAAAGCTGGTACCGTAGCAGATATTCTGGTTTTGTTCCTATCTCTTGCCTGCAACATTTCTATCTTCTGTTAAGAAAACCTCTAAAGAACAAGGTCCCTTTCGGCATTTGTCAGAAAACTAAAAAGATGTTTTTAGCCATACTTTAAGCCACTTGTTTTCAAAGGTGTTTGGGATACTTATCTGTAACTCAGTAGATGTCCAACCTTTATTATTTGTTTTTAATCTCATACATGGATACGACAACACGTATTACATCTATGACTCTATAATGGGTACATTTTCAATTATCACATTTTGTCTGTAAATACAGATTCTACCTTATAAGTTCATGCCAATACTCCCTTCAAAAAAGTACCATTACTCAACATCACTGCAAAAGCATGTGAAGTGATGTACTAGTTTCCCTAATGTAATGCTGGAGTTGAGAGCTAGTGGGGTTCTTATTAGGTTTACAGGTTGTTTCTCCTATAACTCATCATTAAACTTGTCTAATTTGTGATACTAAACAGTGTTCTGACTCTACTTACATGTTTGAATGGGCTGTCACGTAGAAACATTAATTCCTATCACTCTTGCCAGCATCTATCTATCTATAGAAAGGCTTTTTGTAGAACATTCTCTTCCTGATTAGTCCTGCTTTAGACTAAAGTCATTATAAAGTCAAGACATTGCTCTATAAAGACTGCTTTTAAAAATGTTTTTATCCTACTTCTTTGTTAGGAATCGTATTTCCATTTAATTTCTTATGCTTTGACTTTCATAGAAGCTTTTTTGTTTTTTATTTTCAGAGTTCACTGTAGCATCTCATTCAAGCTGTATTTTGATGAGGGCAATTTTAATATCTTGCGATCGTTTTGTTTTCTGAATTCATTTTCATAATGGCAATGGCAGAAAGGAGAGAAGCGCACTAAACGTGAAACTACTAAAAGTCTTACCCATAGCAAGCTTCCACTGACGACACATATCTCACAAGAAGACATCTGTACATCTCACACACTCCCAATCAAATTACTTTAAAAGGATTTTAGAAGGTGTGAGTTTAAGTAATTATGTTACTGTCAACTGGAGGATAAAAATGCTCTGGAGGTAGGCTGAGGACTTGACTGGATTACTCAGGGTGAGGTCTACCCAATTCGCTCCCCCAAGTAGGTAGAATACCCACAGATGTACATCCATGTGCCACAGGTAACCATGTCACCCTTCTGGTTAAATATTCCAAGTTTCTCTTCAGTTTCCAAGGATTCATATAATACGTTCTTCGTACATTGATAGCAAAAATTCCTCTGAATTTCCATCATTCCCTTGTTTCTGCACTAGCACAGAAGCAGTACACCCCATCCACTAGAAAGGCCTATTCCAGTGAAAGTCATTAAAAGAGGAAGTATGAGAAAAAGTAAAAAAGAAATAATTACCAAACACAGTTCTAGCTGGAACAGACTCCTTATTTATCCAAAACGAAACTTGAGAAAGGATCACAGTCATAATGCAGGGGATATAGGTTTGAATCATAAAATAACCCATTTTCCGTCTGAGGTGGAAGTAAACTGTCATAACAATATATTCACCTAAAAAAAAAAAAAAGAAAAAGAAAATATTTTTCTGGCTGCACATAAAATGTTTGTGTTGCAGAATAACTGTTTCAGACTATCACCTAGGATTGTTTAAGATGATGCTATTCATACCACTTAACGTGTATAGAAAGGTATGTTCCTCAGAGACAAGAATGAAACAAAGTTTTAAACAAAGAATTCTGGTAGGTCCATACAGTGCCATTCAGAAGCTGCTATCAAAAATACTGTAAATGTACAGCTAATACTGGATCACTTTTTACAGCATAAGCACGATTTTAAAAATTCTTTTGGCATCTTTTTAAAGACTCCCAAGACACAAGCTATCTACCTGCCATGGTATCCAGAACATTATGGTACCTACCTGTCAAATAATACAATAACAACAATAGTGCACATTAAATTACATGGAAGTATCTCAGCTTTTTACTAGGTTTATACATCAGCAGCACTGTGATAATGAAGCAAATGCAAAATTCATTGACAAGAATTAAAAATACTGTAAGTTTATCTAAGTATTATCATTCATATTAAACAAAAAAGAAATTGCAGTTTTACCATAAACTGAATAAACTGTCTACATAAAGCACTACAGAATGAGCATTTTGGGGATAGTAAGGAAATTCTGTTGCTAACTCATAATAATCAATAAGCTGAGAAGTAAATTTCTAGTGTATTGCAAAACGTTGTTTTATCTTTGAGAAAAATATTCGCAGAGCAATACATCAAATATATTTGCATTATCTGTTTCATTTTGACCATCTCGCAACACCCAAACTTGCTGACGCTTAGAAAATGATTCCAAATTTTAAAAATATTTTAGGAATATGCTTGTTTATCACCACACTGCTCATCAGTGATACTTCACTCATTTCAGATGCCTGTACTTGCCATTTGCCTTATTTCTTACAGCACAAATCAGCAGAAGTATCTATTGTGACTAATGCGTTTGTGCCCATCCTTATCTGACTAGAGGGTTTTTATGGCCCTAATAACCCATTCTGTACGCTGTACTTCTATCCCGAGCTGTTTGCACCGTCAGACAAAGGAAGTCTTTTGCACATAATGTGGATACAGTGCTGAGAAATTACTTCCTCACCCAGGCATCCTCTTGACTCTTCAAACTGCATTTTAAGCAGTGATTAAATGCTCATTTTGTCCCTCAGAGTAATGATCTCATTCTAGCTTTCTGAAAGACCGTCGCAATTTACTGTAATGAATCTGCACATGTAAATCTGAAGGACAGAAACCTGATTCAGATTTATGCTCTCAGCCCTTAAAATATACCCTATGGCATTCAGTAGAACACCTTACAGAAAGGAAAGAAAAATACTTCAGGCAATGTTACAGGGTTAGTTTTACCTCAAGTTGATTTTTACTGACGAGATTCCTACCTGTAATAGATTTAATGGTTTCAGTGGATACCGTATGCCCAAGCAGGTCATACTGAACTAAACTGGAAGACTCCTCAGGAACTTCCACTGACTTCTCAGGTCCTTTTGTCCAGGTATAAATCATTTCACTCTTTGGATAAGCATCTACAACACAGCATCAGTTTGCATAAACAGGTAACGTCTACTCACATCTTACTAAAAGCCCAATCCAAACCTACCGAAATCAAATGGCAAGACTCACACTAACAAGTTTAGAAGATACCCTTCATGTTAAGTTACCCCCAAAAACAACCCTCGGAGGAGAATAAATAGCAGCTAAGGTGATATGTCAAAGTGTCACACACAAATTCACATTTGAATGTGAAGTCTAAACACGAGTTCTTTCTGGATCAGCCGTTTTGGGCATGTAAAGTTTATCTTTAAATTATTTTAGAAATTGCTATCTAAGATTTTATCATTAAAATATATTAATATATTAAAAAGCATGTATAAGGATAATACATTTTGGAGAATGGGTGCACATTTCTTTACAGAAAAGAATTACTATACTAAAAACTACACAATACTACAAAGTATAATATTTTAAACTTGTGTTTAAAATATTTCCCAGAAACAAGAGGTCAGCAAAAAATTCACAATAGCCCAAAAATAAGCACACCCAAAGAAACATTTTACATTTAATACAAAAGACATAACTTAGGGCTAGCATTCAATCCCTACACAGCCCAAACTCCTGTTAAAATTAAGTTCAATCAGTCTTGCATTTGAAACAGCTACATCTTATTTCAAGTTTCACTGAGGAAAGTATCAGATTAGTGTCAAGTGCAACTTCTGCTGGCTGGCAATCCTGCCTGAAGAAATATGCCTGTGGGGAGAAGTCCCCACTATTGAAGTTCCCCTGCCATACAGCTGCTACCAAAGCCAGTTCTGGCAGAACCTGGTCTCCAGTCTCACTGTAACAGGGATGAAAAACCTTATCAGAGCAGTGTCTTTTATATGCCCCCCTTCTGGTTGACTACCCAGCCGTATAAGGTAAATTTATGCTAAGGAAAGACTATGAGGAGCTTCCAGCCATTTCTAACTTCAGATCTCTGGGGTCAAGGAAAACCAATGTCCAGCCACTGACTACATTGGAGTGTAAAGCGGAGAGGTCAGTGATAAAGGAGGCTTACAAGAGTGACAAGGTAGTTAATGGAGTGCACCAACCATCCCCAGGCGGTCTCAGTGGTCTCTGCTGCGGATTCAAATCAGGGAAACGTAACTACCTCCCTCGATTGTTATGCAGTATGCCCCAAAATGTTCCTTCTAGCCAAAGTCTGGAGATTATCCAAAAATCCATGTCTGACTTGAAAGCAGAAAAGGCAAGTCACCTGCACTAAGATTCCTTTCACGAATCTAAAAATTATTTATCTGGTCTAAACTTGCCACACAGACTCCCGTTATAGGCCAGGAGACAAATACAACTAAAGATCAAATCTCCACATAACCTACACATCTATCTTAGTGTGTCAATGTGCCTCCAGTAACTGTACAGAAAGACAAATAACCTGCTTCTCTAGGTGCCTTTTCCCTGGCTGTTCTAAGCTGAGATGGATCCCACCCTCTTTGTCTTCTCCAGAGAATCTCTCCCTTCACTGAGCACCCAATTCCTCCCTAAGAACCAAGAAAAACCTACGTATTTCAAGCAGCTGTGTAGCCAGAATAGGGGGTTTTCACATAATAGCTGAATCCGTGCCTGCTTTTCAATTCTCTGCCTGGGTTTAATTTTTGAGGCCCTAAATAAAATTCCCAAGGAACTTAACAGGAGTTTTGTCTGCGTAAGGATTGTGTATCAAGACTAATATTCAGAAAGTTTAGTAATTGCTCAAAATCTACTTCTACTATTTAAATTCTGTAGTTACAAGAAATTTCATAATTGCAACTTACAACTCCCAAATTTGAGAGGACAAGCATGACCATCCATGGGAAAATCCACTAATCTCATGGGACACTCTGCACTTATTGTAAGCCTATAATGGAACAAATTAAATAGTCTCTGGTTGCCATTTTGTCTAGGCAGTATAACTTTTGCATACAGTAATTGTAAGAAGCTGAACAAACACGTTAGATACCTCATTGTGTACAGGATGGTGCCATTTCTCATTATTCTAAAGAGTTTATTTGGAGCTGTCATATTATGTGCAACAGACTTTTTCCCATTCCTGAAGAAAGTGTCAGGAGTCCACACCTTTGAAACCATCAAGTTGTTAAGTCTTAAAATTTCAATAGGGCCATCATATTTTAGTCTTTTGTCTACCCATGTCTGACGGAAGAAGACATCCATTGTATATTCCTGTATTAAATCGCAGAAAAACAAAGATCACATTTGCATGTATGAGTGTTTCCTGTAAAAAAAGAAATCCCTCAGGAGCAAAGAAATCAATCAGTAGTAAAGAAAATGTGAAGTCCTCTACACAAACATATTTCCACCAATTAAAGCATGTTGTGTACTTCTTAATAGCTTAATTTCCCACATTAGTCGTATCAATAAATTGTTACACATATTTAATCATTAAGGAATAATTAATCTAATTAGCTGCAGGAAGCAGGCAATTGAATTTGCAGTCAAGCATATAACTAGAAATGAAATGATCTCTGACAATAAGTGTCAACAGATTTTTAAAGAAAAGATATCCATGCATTTTCTGCTGCTGGCTAAATTAAAAATACCAGGACAAACGATTACTTCCACTTTAAAGTCAGCATAGAAAATGTAATTTCAACTCATGGAAAGTAAGCTTTTAACTGAGGAAAGCTAAATATTTCCTTTGCCATGCCCACAAAACATGGATAATAAATTATATATAAACTTGCGTATGTACACGTTTGCTTTTAACTATGTAACTCTCCCATTAGTTTCCTCAGAAAAGCCATTCAGATGCTCCAAAGAAAACATGCAAACAACAACTGGAGAACTGCAGACACAGGCACGCCATGAGAAATCATACATGAAGGAATGGCCAAAGGAATGCATTTCTCATCTTGGGAAACTAAAACATTTCACAAAAAAGCATCATGTGCCATTGAAAAAGGTAACACAGAAAGCCTTAAGTCTTTTCTAACTTCCGGTTGTGATTTTGTTCGTTTCTGACTTTATTTCAGACTCTTCTGCATAATGTTACCATTGAAACTACTTGTATGGCCATATCTATTCAGATGGGCAAGGAGGCATGTCTACCAGCGTAATGCATCTTAGAATTATATCTGTCATCTTTTCCATGGCTGCGTCTGCCACTGTGGTTTATAGTTAATCTATGAAAAGTCTCTTTTCTAGTGTCATTTCTTGCTGGTGACTTCATAGCTCATAAGTAGCAGTTTCTGTTATTAGCTTCTACGTGAAAGATTTTGTAATGTAGGATTTCAGCCCTTTTTATTATACTGGGTGCCAAAGTAACCCAGCTCTAAAAAGACATTCTGATCATCCCCTGTACTGAGACGGTACCACACTTTGCTGTTTCAGCAAGATTTTTGAATGCAGCCACATTCAGATTACATTTGGTCGCTAACGGATACATTAACTAAAAATTATTCCAAAACCAATTCCTGGATCCCTGAATAGTCTCCTAACTAATCCCTGATAATGAAACAGGAAACATCTGCTGTAAATTCTCCTTTTGCCCGTTCCTTACCTACCTTCAGTCCATGTTCTCACTCCTGCCTTCTCCTATATAACTATTAGTTTCCCATGTGGCACCATGTCAAATGCTTCACTGAAACCTAAGAGATGCCATGCAGCTCTCATTTTAGATTTGAGGCACAAGATGTCCTTGGGACCAGATTCTGGTATCCCTTGTCACGCTGAACAGCATCACGCTGTACGTGACAGCCATTGAAGGGGTAAGATACATTTCAACATGAGACTGCTGTCACAAATCTAGCCCTTGAAAAGACATCTCGCTATCCCATACCTTTGCACATGATAGAACCAAATCAGGTGCACCACAAAGTGCACGACAGCACTGTATGGGAAGAAAGTTACCACCCTGAAACTGCCTTTCCCTTAATGAAGTTCAGTTCAGCACATACAGCTGTGTTACTTCCATGTGATTTCTTGGATGTTTTATAAAAAGAGAAACTATTGTATGACTTAAGGGTATACCACTGGACTATAGAAGTTGATGAGAGTTATGCTGGATTTGACCTCAAATGAATGCAGATGCCATTCAGGCACAAGTACCAGCACATGCAAATGTAACGTTTCTCCTCAGTGACTATTTCATGCATGTCACTTTGACGTTCAATTTCTGCAGACACTTAAGAAAAACCTTATCAGTCAAACATTTGCTGAAAGTGATGCTAAAAGGGGCACAAATATCGGCAAAGGGCGTTCATCTGAAATGAAAACGTCAACGAGTATTTGTGAAACGATGTCATTATTATTCACCTGAGAATAACACAAGTTTCAGAAAGGAAAGGCAATTTCAAAGATATTACACATTTTCCCCACAGTAGACCGACTCAGACAGTCCCCACAAGGCCTGATTCTGATTCTACACCATGAAAGTCTGTTTTAAATCCTATGAAGTTAATTCCTTAAGCCAGCCAAAAACCAGTGAAAGTGTGACCAGAATCAGGCCTGATGTACCTAATTATAACCTGTAAATTAAGCTGTTACTAATCTTGTCTACTTTGCATAATTGACAGAACAGTACAGATGAAGCATCCATTCCGCACTGCAGTTAATGGTTTCTCAGAACCAGGAAATGGCATTTTAATCCCAGAAATACATACCATTTCTACATCAGAAACAGGTCCAAAACTGGTGACATATATATCTGTTTTGACTTCAGTAACAGGACCTAATGTATGAAAAGGAAGTGAGCAAGAAAATTTGAGTTTTGCAGGTCAACAATTCCCATAAATGATCCTGGCGTGTGAACAGTTATTGCTTTGAGGGTTCTGTGGACGAGCAAGAGCAAAATGCAAACACAGGTCATGTCAGGTAAGTCTCTAATAAGAAACACTGCTCAATTACCTTTACCCCATAAATAAATCAAAAGCAGCATTTCCATGCAAACCCCCATTCTGAAAACCAATGTTGACTCAATGGATAAGATAACAGATGCCAAAAAACTAAAAGGCTCACTGAAAAACACCATGCTGATTAACAACAAGCACTGAATTCAGGAAATCCACATTCCCCAAGGCATTTATTACTAACATTTGGTCCTATTGGTAATAACTGGACTACAGGTATTAGCATGCCATGCATCGGGCAATTTAGTACTGCAGTATCAAGAACTGCATCCATATCCTGAGATGCACTTAAGTGGTTCAATACTAATAATCAAAAGAAAAGTTGGACATCTAAGCACTTTTGAGGGTCTGAACCTAGGTTGAAATGCTCCTACAAAGCCTGTCATGAAAGCACGAGTGATACCTAGGACACCGTTCAAAACACTGCACCGAGCAGAGGTCTTGCGCGCTCACAGCTGGGTACCACAAAGCAACCATCAGAGAAAGCAGTTTCGGTTTAACACGTATTTCCTTTACTACAGGACAAAACACCTTGAAATTTCAGACGGGCGTTCACTCTGCAGTAGACTCCACAGTTCCCCTTAAACCAAGGAACACATGCACTAACTGATTTCACTGGGATTTACGTCTGTTCCCAATGTAAAAGGCTAGAAAGCTGCTAATCATTATCAGTTATTAAGATGATTCTGTGATCAAAGCATTAGTTTAAATCAGGTAATTAACTCACATTGTAAATTAAAATAAATAAATAAATCTACCAATGGTCTCACCGAACAGTATCTGTTTGAAAAAAATGTATGATCTACAAATTCACAACCACAGTTTCTAAACCCTTATAACTCAAATTTCTGAAGAGGGTAAGTAGCTCAAATCTGTTAATTCAGGTTGTATCATAGTATTTACAGCTAAAAATTAAAGGAGACCTAGCAGCAGAAGAATATGGCCCTCTTGCAAAGAAAAAAAAAAATTAAAAAAAATCACTGTTGACAGATGTCACTTTGAATCAAATGTTAAAAGGAGAAAAAGAAAGAAGCAACTGGAAAACAGGGAACTTAGACTTCTTGCACCCAGAACAAGTGTCAAACTGTGAACAAAAAGTAAAATAAAACCATGTAAAATTATTTCACTAAACAGTTTGCAAGTTATGTAGAGAAGAACTGCTAAGAGTTTTTTCAGCTAAATGTCAAAAAAACGACTTTGCTGGAAGTTAACAGAAGGATATTTTTTTTGAGATAAAATCTAAAGAAAATTCACCCTACAATAGCTGGTAGCTCAGTGGTCCCTGGAAAGTTGGATAGTCTGGCATGTCTGACTTAAAGAGGTTTTAAGAAGAAACTCCCAAGTTCCAGATAACACACTTTCATACCACCCTGTTTGTTTTGCAGTGGGTTGCTCTCTAAACACGTCAAATGGAAGCGGCTCGCCTTTCTACAAAAAACAAAGTGTTCGTTAGGTCAGGAAAATCTGTGAGTGGTTAGACCACTCATTTTACTGACAGCGTAGTCCAATGACTTTTCCTGAATATAATATAATTTCTGGAGAGCAGAAGAGGTCCGAGAGATTGGAAAAACTCTTACTAGAGCTGTCAAGATACTCGAAGTGAAGACATTCATCTGCAACGTTAGAAAATAGGGGACAAAAGCCAAATTATACTTGTACATAGAAGAGCTCCAATCGTATCTGACCTCCCATAATCACAAGACTATAATTTATCTAGGGTTGGTTTAAACATATAAATACTTATTTCACCTGAACTTGACATGTTTCTGAAATCAAAGTTCTACAGAAATGAAAAAGTCATTTCCCCCACATAGGTCTAATAAGAAAATGTAGGAATTAGTCTCTGTTTCTCAATAATAAGAGAATACTGAATATTCCGCTCAGTTCCTGAATCCCTTGCAGGAACTGCTTTATTTGTTTGTTAGTTCTAAGAAACTAAATAGGAACATTCCTCAAAAAAAAAACCCCAAAACCTTTAACTGTTTTCCTCTAGTGATATCATCTTTTCTTTAGCTATCAGAACACTGTAATTTTATAATGATATCAAATTAGGCAAAGGGACAGATTTTTCCCACAGGCACGAGCAGCTTCTCCTCTGGCACTGATTTCTTTTGTTTCATTAAATTATTATACCTCCACGGGCAATAAGCATTCAGAGATTTTTTGCAAGTTTATTTTTTGGAGTTTCTCAAAAAGAAGGGGAGAGTTAAGACCAAGAAGCTAATCTCCAAAACGGCAAGCCTACGATTTAATGCTATTAGAAATCCTATAGGAGCAGGAGTAGCACAGGACTAAAACTATCCTTGAGTTCACTCTTCAGTAACTGCTATTCTGCTCTCAAACCTTTACTGATTAGCAGGACCCATGAGAAAGAAGGAAGCAGGAACTCTCAGACAATAATGAAGCCACAAAATAAGGTTGAAATTAAAGTTTCTTTCAGATGCTTGCCTGACATGATGGCAGTAAAGTGACAAAACAAATGTTAAAATCACATTTCAGGCTGCTAGAAAATGCAGATGAATGAGAATCTAGAAATATTTTAGGCATCATAACGGTTACTGAGCTAGTACTGATGTGCAAATCCTCGCTCTGCATTCAAAACCTCAGTCAAACATGAAAATGTTTGGTAGGAGTGAAGACAGCAGCAAGGGACAGTGACGCTGATTATCTCCCTAATGCTTTTTCTCCAACTGCAGCCCTGTCGTGCTCCACGTCTTCCACCTACATTGTCAGTTCACAACTGCTAAGGCCAAACTTTGGATTTTCTAGCACATCCTAGTACTTAATGCCAACCCAGGAGTATCTATGGCGACACCAAAACCTATCTCTCATTCTTCCTGTTCGAGAAGAAAACTTAACTCCAGTTGGTAACAATAGTGGGGGTACAAATAGCAAGTCATGCTTCTTTTTTTTTTTTTTAACTATTATTAATCCTGGGAATTCCTGTCAACAAGGAGATCTGTAGTCACCTAACCTACTTTTTCGGGTGATTTAAGCAGCCCTCCGAAATGAACGTGTTGCACCACTTAATCAACTCAGGCTCTGCAAGCAGAAGATCCTATTAGAATCCTTAACACTCTATTACTGGCAATAAAATGCAGCGAGTTGTAAGAATGCCAATTAACTTTAAATATGACCATTTGGGCTTATCCCTCAATGGATGTTCAGAAAGCATCTATCCACCATAAATCTTCAGGAACGCTGAAGAACTATTTATAACACACTGGTGTGTATTTTTATGTCAATGAAATAGGAGGAGAGTCCTACACACTGCAGTGGGAACAGTTAAGTCTGAATCACTGCTTGCAAGATAATATACTTTAAAGAAGCTCAGGCAGGATTAAAAGCAACCCCTGCAAAAAGCCAGAATAGTTCAGTGTTAGATTGAGATGTTACATGTGGGCTGAAGAAGCGATGCCAGGCCCTAACCTTGTGAAGAGGAACATAAGACAGCTCTCCCATGCATTTTATGCCAACATATGGGTTGAACTGCAGCACAGCTTCCCAGCGAAAGACTTTGGGCTCCATTATCCCCGCGTCTCCATAGGCAACTGTCACTGCAGAGATCTCCGCTGTATGTAAACAGTCAAATCCTGCACAGGCTTTCCGTACGTTGCAAATTTTGCCATCAAGAGTCACGCAACCAATCGGGAACATTAGCAAACAAGTCTGTACAAAGGCTTCAATATACAAAGTACAATTTAAATCCGAAGTGCAGTTATCGCTGCTATTATGAGAACAGTCCCAGGATACATAAACTACATGAAATTATATTACATCAGTTCTTACAGCTACATCTAAAAAAAAAAAAGTAAAAAAGTAGTAAAGCAGACGCTACAGATTTTTTTAAATATAACTACATGAAAAAGATTTGGTGCTTTCTCTTTCCAAATTCTTGCTGTCTGAATAGGGTTGATATCTTTTAAGTAAAATAAAATAAAAAAAAACCACAACAAAACCCACCATCATACAAAGCATGTTCTCTTGTTTCATTCTATCAGAAAGAACAGCAGAGGACACCTGCTATATGTAAGATTTCTGTTAGGAAGCCAGAACAGCTAGGTAGGGCATTTTTAAAAAATTAATGTGGAATTCAAACACATGGGCTACATTCTCTACCAAAAAACAAATATAACAAATGCAGCAGCACACAGTAACCTCTGTTTCTACATATGTTCATCCATCAGCATATCTGGACCCTGAAAACGGAGAAACATACCTCCAGAAATGAGGAGCCTACTGTGTTTCTTTGCCTGTTCACCAGCAAATAATCTCTGCTGAGACAGCCAACAAGCTTGATACTGGTGCCAGTTTTCATGATGTGGACACCTGTCTAGTAAGAACTGGACTAAGAATATCAGCTAATTTTATACAGGTCACTGAACAACAGACAGATGGTAATGACTTCAAGCATTACTAACCTCAGCCAAATTCAAATCAGTCAACTACAGGTATCTAACACCATATCCTGTTAAGCCTTTGAGTCATCTACTCTCACCAGCTAAGGAGGACTGGACAACTGCCTGAAAAAAAAAAAAAAAAAGGATCAGCTTCGCTTTACAGTGCTCACTTAAGTCCATTTACAATCTAAAAAATAAATAAAGTACATTATCTACTATGCTGAGCAATGGAACCTCTAAGGTACGTGAGAGTTCCTAAAAAGAGCAGATAATCACATAGATATTTTTCTGTTCTCTAAAACCAGAAAATTGTCTTTGCTCTTCATATGTATTCTGTGTTTATTTTCTGAATAAAGTCACTCCTCCTGCATTGACAGGAAATTAAACTCTTCAGAAACGCTGTTCATCAGCTGAACGTCACACAGCCTAGAAGGGGCAAAGAAGCCTTCTCCTACCCTTCTTAAGGGAGACAATGGCCAACATATTTAATTCCACCAAGTACTCAGCTGCACTTTCACAGTACAAGATCATGAGCAAGAATATGAAAAGAAGGAGGAAAGAAAAAGGAAAATGAATGAACACGGTCCTGTTCCTTCTACTCATGAGCCAGTGTAAGTGGCAACTTCTAAACAGAAAGCCACAGAGCTATCACCATTTCACTAGCTGATAGCGGGACTTGCAGCTCATGCCAGACTACCTCACACAAGTAACATAATCCAAAAGGAGAGAGAGCTCCAGCTTTCGATGACTGGTGGGCAACCACACCACAACGAGCCAGTGGTGGTGACACCATCAGTCCATTTAGAGCCAACGTCAGTGGGTTTTGCAGTCAACCCAACAGCCTTGGGCAGGAGGCAAGTCACACACCACCTTCCTTCTTTGGTTTGGCCATAAAATTGGCCATTAAAGGCAAGACACTAGAGATGAAATGTTCTCTAAAAGGCACACCTAACAAAAAAAAAAATCACGAAAATGAGCAGATACACGGCAGCACACAGTGACACTGTCCTCACCAGCTTCAGTCCTCTCATTCCTTCTTCCCAAAGTGTGATGAGTTACCATATCATGAAATTTTCAGTCAATTAGATTTTCTAAAGTTATAATCCAATACAGACTTGAATCAGGTGCTTACTTATGTCAAGAGTTGCTCGGGTAAAGTCTGAAACCATGCAAGTGTTTAAAATGGCAAATCAGACCCAGGCCTTTTACTTTAAGCAAATAACACTCCTTTCAAAAAGTCGTCTGGATTTCTACTGTCACTTTGAAACTAATCACCAGTAGAAAGGTAACGAGGGAAATTTCAGAGACAATCCAGGTTTTGCAACTTCCTATAGTTTTCCTTTGGTTTGTGTCATACAGAAAATTTTAAAAAAGCAAGAGAAAACCAGAGTCAGGGTATAACTAGAAATGCTTTTCCGTCCAAGTTTTCCATCTGAATCAAAACAGTACTGTGGCAGCACTCTTGAAGGTTTCCAGCAGATAATGCTTTTAATTAATCACACTACAAGTGGCATCTGTAAACATCCTGTTCTTATGATCTGTTAGATTATAGAATGGTTTTGACCAGGAAATCCGCATGCATTACAAATTGCATTCTGAAATTCAGGATAATGATAAAATGGAGTGTACAGCGTAGGGAATGGAGTTGACTTCATTTCCACCACACTATTTTCAAAGATTATATAGCATTACTTTATTCATTAGTCCCCAAATACCTTCCCTCTACTGAAATTCAAAACTTTTATGCATTTAAAGTCTTCCTGACGGCACTTGGGTGTTTTTGTTGTTGTGGGGTTTTTTTCTTTCCTACACAAAACTGCCCATTTTGCTTTGTTTCATTACATTTCTAGGTGAAATCTCTTTGCTTCTCTCTTGCTTCTTTAGATTCCCTCCACCTCCAAACTTAATGGGAACTTTCACCTAAATGGTCTTTAATAACCTTTTTCATAAACCTGTCTGGGTTTTTTTCTTATACTACCAAACCTCACAGTGCTTAGTAAGTGACAGCAACTTTTTAGGTGTTTTTTAATCCGTTTAATAAAGTGTGTTTGCAATGCAAAATGTCAACCAAATGACATGGGGAACTTTATTCCTCTATTGACCCTCAACATACGCCATGCTCCTGTGTAAGAAGTACCAAGACGAGCTCCCATATACTCCGTTGAGGGTCAAAAACCTCCCGAGACACCACTTCCACATTTGTAAGCATGTTCAGGAAATTTAACTTCTCCTCTGTGACTACCAAAAATTGTGCTAATTAATGATAGCGTGGAGAATTTGGATCCAATTTTAGGAAATCTCCAAAATCTAACATTTTCTACTTCGCTCTGTATGCAAAAATTCTTCATGAACTGTTATTTGTGGCAACTCTGGAAGATGGCAGCAAAATTCAAAATTTGGCTACCTCCCTAATCTGATTTTAAACATCATTTGCGCCACAGTTAGAAATGTTTTCATTGATTTGAAGTTTAAAATCAGCATCAGTCAGACCTCTGTGGGGCCTTTTGTTCTTAAAATAAAACCTTCGTTTCATTTTGAGCCACGTGAAAACTAGATGGTGAATCAGCTTCAAGAATAAAACAAAAATATTCTGCTGTTCATCAGAAAGTGACGTAGCTTTAACGTTACCAAAACACGCTATACTTTCCTTCTCTAAATATTCCCATCCCCTCTAACATTTTGTTTGTTATGCTATAAACTAGTGAGCGACCCACTTTTAAGATGCAAGCCCCGTTTGTCATAAAGATTTATTCAGCCAAAAAAACCCCAAAATATAGGGAAAACTTGATTTGGATAGTGTATATTTTAATAACTAATCCATAGTTACTACTCTCAGTTATGTCAAAAAGTCAAATCTGACCAATTGCAGCAATTTCTTCCTTTGACTGGGATTGTTTTGTTGTTTTGGTTTTTTTTAAAAGCTGTTCTTGTCAAATCAGGTGAAGGTAACTTTTGCTGTGAGGAGCCAGGGAGGCAGGCGTCATTTTCAAAAATAAAGCATTTTTTCCCCCGTGTCTTTCTTACAAGTTCAAAACTCAAAGATAAGCGGTTTATATGTTATAAGGAGGAAGAAGCAAGAAGCAATATAATATCCATTTCGTGAAATATTCACCCAGAAGTGTTTTCCCCAGGCTGAAATCTGAGGGTTTTTTCCCTCCATCATTTACTTCAAGATTGCCATTATGAAAGTTCAAGGAGATACAATGAACTTTTTCTCCTTGATAGCATTTTGCTGAAAGTCTGCAACGCTTGCTGGGTAAAAAGATCTACTCTTGCAAAATATCTTGCAAAGGACAACTATATTAAAATAAAAATCAGATAAACTGTATGCCATATTACATATTTAGTAGTTGTTTAATTTTGGAAATCTGATAATGCTCAAAAAGCATCTTTGCTAGATGACTAATTAGTTGGCATTCAACCTAAAATGATGCCAAACATAGCACATCTCTGGTACGCATGCAGAAGTGCCTGTAACCTCTCCGCAAAGACTAAATTGCAAAAGGCTACCGGCTCCCAATGATTCCTCTGGGTGCTAATAAATTTAGCTTCCTTCCCACTTAACGTGTAAGCTAACTTACAGAAGGCCCTCATTCATCCCATCCACTCAAAATAATAAAGGAGTGATCAACGATGCCAGGTGTTGTCCTTTAACAATCATGATCATGTATCTGAGCACTGTATGTGGCATGTGGGGAATGTGCTGGCACACATGTCAGTGTAGATGTATCACGTGTATGAAGTAGGTACTTTCAGGGGAGGAAGAAAGTATTTCGCAGCATAAACCTACGCAAGGATCTCATTCAATCCTGTATAGGAAGCAAGCCTATAAAATGCTCGTTATAGCTTTATGCATCATGAGGAGAACTGTAGCATTTCTTCTTAATTTTTTTTTTTACTTTCAAATCTGTATTTTTAATATCTTCATTCCAGATTACAGAATAAACTTTTATTTTGGTCTGGATCCTAATGATTTTTGGTTCCTAGTCCCTACACAGTAACATTAAAACCAACAAAGATCAGCAAGTCCGGCTGCTTATTCAACAGCACAAAACTGCATCTTAACAGCCTGGGGCAGGAAAGGGACACAAAACTCCCACATGCTGAGCACGGGCGAAGGCAAATTCAACACTCCTCCACTTCTAATTCCTATAGAGCAATTAAATCTACTACTTCTAAATCAAAGCTGGAATTCGAGCAACTGTGGTAAAGAACTGGTGTTCTCTGGCACCTGAGCTCTGGTTTTACTTAACTAGTGGAACAGAACCCACCAAAGACCTGACCTCTTAGGCTGGTAAAAGTACACTTGTTTCTACTGGGACCCGATCCGTTGCATTTACGGGTCAAAAACTGCCAAGAACCCGAAGAATCCGGATGTCAGACAGGTCCCTCCATCCTCACCAAGCCAAAGCACAGCGGCTTCAGGGTTGGGGTTTTTTTCCCCCCAGCGCAAGAGCAGCAGCCTGAGCCCACGGTGTGGGCTGAGCAGCGAAGCGGGGGCTGAGCCCGGGACCGCCCGA